GTGGCGAAGATCCCGCTCTACTTGGTTGTCCGTGAGGACTGTGACTATGAAATCCGTAAAGGATGTGCGATCGAACCACAAACAATTATCAATTTTAATAGCCTCAGCACGCACAAAGTCTAGCCACCCTTCATAAAAAACTACCCGAAAACGATTACCTCTCATTGTCACGTTATACCTCCGACCCTCTCTAGTGGTTAGGGTGCATTGAACAGGTATAAGATGACTGTATTGATGGTTTAGAGCGTCAGGTAGCTTCTGCATTGCACGTACAAAAATCGAATTGAAGAGTAATGTGATATTTCACCCAATATTTGACAACAAAATTAAACATGAACACCATGAATTGAATTACGAATACGTACCAATGTCCGTTTTTCCGGATTGACAATGTACTTGAAAAACCATTCAAAGTGCGGCGACATGTTGTGTTACGTGTTATCTACATGGGTGACGACAGCCAATCAAAAGAAAAAAAAATGCACATTCGGACAAAAATTACAGATATATACATATATATATATATATATATAATAGCTAACAAGTAACAAATAAACCACAATCACTAGAATGTAATCCGAGTTAAAATCGACAACGTCAACATACACAATAATAGCGCGAAGTAGAATGTAATCCGAATTAAAATCGCGCGGACTAGAATTAAGCAGTATTATGGGTGTGCTTGAATTTTGAGAAGCTTTGGGTGGAGAAGCAGTATTTTGGGTGTGCTGGAATTTGGTGAAGCAAGTAACAAAATTTATTATGGCTCAATCCTCGGTTACATCACCAAACTTTGACCGTAAATTTGCTTCAATTTGGAATAAATGGTGACCGAAAATTTGTGTAATACACTACAGTCCAAATTTCTGAAATAATGACAGAGCCTCTTTTCATGTGTACTCATTAATTTGTAATAAATATGGGTAGTTTTACCGGTTGTGCATAATGACAGTGTCATAAATTGACTTTACTGAAAACAAAAAATATTATAATTATATGTAATACAATACTGATAAATAATCTTTATTTAAATGGCAGTATTGCCGTTTGTTTTTTTATTATTCAGCACCAAACAATCTTTATTTTGTTGGATTATCTCAAGCATTCGTAGCCCTAACCGAAAGCTGCATCTGAAGTTCGCGGTAGGTTTTTTTTTTCATTTTCGTGAGTGTATTTAAAATATAATAAATTAATTCGTATGGATGAACCGGTTCATTCAAAATATTCACTCGCATCATCTTTTATACAGGTACTTTACAATGGCAACCACGTTTGACCCGTTTGTTGCAACTATTAGGAATGCAAGCAGCCCAACCTTCGTATGAATCTGAGCGATTTAACGAACTTCTTCTTTAGATTTTATATTTAACTATAAATTTTAGTGAATATCCGTCCAACACATTGTATGTGGTTTTCATACAGGCATTGCCAGAGTCAATCTACCACCAATATACAAATCATATGACGGTAAATTGTACAATACTTACTAGGGAGAACCGTAATTATGAAGTTTGGTTGGTAAAAGTAGAAAATAAATTAGAATTCCATGATGGTTGGGAATATTATGTACGATCGGAGGATATTCGAAGGGGATACATTTTGTATTTTGAGCGCAAAAGTCTATATGAATTTAAAGTGAAAGTGTTCACTTGTAACTCCGTTGAACGCCCTCCGCAATATCGCTTCTTCGTGGATATGAAGAAGACGCACGTACAACGGGCACGTTTGGTATGTATCACGATTCACTTCAAATAAGGGAACATGGGAGGAATAAAAAAGTTTATTTCATTGTCTTACTACTGTAGGTAATTCCTATGAGCTTTTGGAGGGAGCACATCCAAGACCAAATTAATGATACTAGCAAAGCAATCTTGATGTGTCAAGGACGTCGATTCAATGTCCCAATAATGCAGTCGCATGGGAAGTCGTTGATGGAACATGGTGAGTGTCGTGAATTTATGGACCAAAGTGGAATCGTCGAGGGGTCTACATGCGTTTTCAGCTTAATTGAATATGAGTGTGTTCTTTTCAAGGTAAGGCTATTGGATGCTTGAATCGTGCGAGTTTATTTATATTAAGGAGGATATGTATGGCAATGAAATTTGGCCGAAGTAGATTATGGAGGTCATGTGTTATGTATTTCTTATTTTGTAATTGAACGTATTTTTTTTGTGGTGAATACT